ACTGGTTCAAGTCCATCTGGTGGGGTCTCCTTGGCCTCCTTGATCAAGAGGTCAGATGACCCACCACCATTACAGGACATTTTGCGAGATGAAAAATTCTTCAAAGCATAAAAATTTGCTCCTTGATAATTGTTGCTCCTTAGTAAGTAAATATGAAAAAAAATTACCATTGAAATCTACCTGGTGACTTTATATCCATGCTTAGATGCCAAGGAGCTCAGAAAGTAACTGACTTTGACTAGTAATAATCAGATACATAGAGATTAGAAATGCATGTGCAAACATCTTAGTGTCAATTGCATTTAAAATGAATTTTTCTGTATGAAACTGTGTATTTTAACAGTGAAATGGAGATATTTTTTAAAGCTTAAAACCTCATTTAATTTTATGTTTTACAGTGTTTATACTGAGTACAATATTGTATAACTGTATTGATTCAACTGTAAACCTAAAAATTGACAGCCAATTTTGAAAGAGATGCATCTTAGCTCTGGAAATTTTTATTGAATATGTAAATGCTGTTGTAATGAAATTCTTCTTCTGATTGTGTGGTTATTAAATAAATAATTTTTAAAATTTTAAAAAGTATTATTTAAAAATTCCCACTAAAATTTTGTGCCACCTGGAGCCAAGGGGAACAGGTCTACTACTGTTATTATCAACATTAAATAATAACTAAATTTCTTTTGTCTCCCTGCCTATAGAAGCCGTCTGGGAGGAAACCCACACTGTGATTCTAGTCATTCCAACAGTTGTCAAAGTGACTGAAAAACAAATCCTGAGTCCAGCCTTGACGCCCAGAAAAAGAAAATGGCCCCAGGAATGGATGCTCTTGGAAGCCCCCATTAAGAAACTCTAATGAACTTTAATGTGGACATTTATTTCTCCTGCTTCCCTACCTAAAATATGTTCCTAACTACTCTTGTTTTACTTCTCCTTCATATCTCCTCCCAGATACTAGTCAAGGACTTACAGTGACATGCTTTGGGGTTTTTTATATAGACCCCCTGGAGAGGTACTCCTGTTGCTATACTCTTTGCCCCTGTTCAGCATGGAAGAAGCCAGAATGACTTGATGTCCAAATTTCCTATTGGCAACTAGGGCTATCTCTCCAGAAGAAAGAGCTAGGGTAGAGACCCCAGAAGAATAATGACAAGTTTATTCTCAGAGGACTGGAGTGGCCAACTCATCTTCCCATCCCTTCCTTACACTATGCTTAATTAACTATTGTCTCCAAAAATTCTTACAGAATCTCGTGACTGAGCATCCTGTATGACTGCCCAAGCCTCTACCTGAGACCAAATTAAGACTATGCTCCCGCTCCATAAAACCTGAGAACTTCTCAAAACCCAAAAATTCCCTGAAACAAATGGCTTGCTGGCTCACTATGGAGAAGGCATGTCACCTTCACTGACCTAATCCTCTCTTCAGTCTGCTGAGGGACCTTCAAAGTAACCTCTGATTGATGCCTGGACCAGTCACCAATTGGGATTCCCTTACTGACACAAAAACTATGACTTCAAGGAACCTTTATGCCCCATACCCAGGACTTATCCTGGTTTCTCCTCTCTGTGCCTGCATCTTCTTATTCCCCCCCAACAAACAATATGCCCCTCTTTCCAACTTACCCTCTGCCCTCTCCTTTTTTTTCATAATGCCACCAGAGTCTGGAATGATAGAATGTGTGAATTGCAGAAGAGCCACAATCCTCATTAGGGAAATCCATAAATCCCTTAAAGTGTCTAACTGGCCATAAATTGGCAGCCTGGCCTTGTCTGGCCTTGCCTAAGCCTTATCAACTGGTCACTCCTGAGACAGAGATTGTTTGTGGAACCCTCCTGTCTCCTTTAGTATCATAGATAACTCACCCACCTGTCTGAGAAAAGAGACCCTCAAGGAGACAAAATCCAGGCACTAATTCAACTCCCCACAATGTGCAGCTGTGTCTCACAACTTCCATATAAAAAACCCCTGGTTTCTTTGTCTAGTTGTAGAAGGTTGCTTCCTTTGGACAGTCTCTACCTCTCCCTGTATCCTCTTTGAATAAGGAAGATATATTCCTTGCCTGTTGCAGATCTGCCTCTGGTTTTTAATCTCCTACTCCTCTGTCTTTCCTTTTTATCAAAAATCTAACACCCCCCCCCCATTTCATTGCCTCTATTATTATTTTTCTTTTTCCAAGACCTATCGAGTCTAATTTGGTTTCCCAAATGCTCTTGGGGGTGGGCCCAACTCTTAGAGTCTGGTCAAACTACCTAAGGCACCACACCAGTAAGGAAAACTGACTCTCCCTCTCCCAGTCTCTATCAATTGCCAATAGATCCTCAGGTAGGGCTGGGGCAAGTGTTTACCTTGTAATTTTTGTTTTTATTTAGAATTTTGTAAGTATAGTACCGCCTATGACAAAATTAGGAGTAATAAAGGTAAACAAAATTGCAATGCCCACAGAGGCCAGGAGAGAGCTAGGTTCTCCCCACCATGTGGGTGCTGGGAAATGAGCCCCCATCCTCTGCAGGAGCAACCAGTGGTCTTAACAGCTGAGCCATCTCTGTAGCCCTTTGTTGCTTTTCTGTTAAAAGGTTAGTGTCACACATAGTTTTTCAAACCGATGCCTTCAATCTTTATTCACAGGGAGATCTCAAAAGTCCCATTTCCATGTGCTCAGACAACACAGAGCTTCAATTTAGGACTTCCGAGGTATTGACTAGCAAATTCCCTCTGAAGATTGGCCTTCTAGACTCTCCGTAACTTTTCCCAGGCACGTTACCCACAGTGCTGCTGCCTTCGAGGCAGTACACATGTTCGTGCCCAGCACCAACGGTCGGCTGAAAGAAGGCCGGATGTGGAGGGGCGGAGCCTCGCTCTACCCATCATGCAATGCGCATTGTTATATGCTCCGCCGCATCAGCTGAGGCGCTACTTTGGCGCTGGAAGTCTTCGTGGCTGGTCGGTCTAGGCAGTTTTGGTCACTTGGGGGTTTCGAGCTCCTCCCGTTTCTCCTCCCCTGTCTCCTCCTCCTCCTCCTCCTCCTCCTCCTCCCCTCCTCCTCCTCCTGCTCTTTTCCTCCTCCTCTGCACCTTCTTCCTCTTCCTCCTCCTCTTCCTCTTCCTCCTCTTTCCCCTCCTCCTCTTCCTCTTTCTCCTCTTTGTCTTCTCCTCCTCCTCCTCCTCCTCCTCCTCCGCTTCTGCACTCCAGTCCTGACGAGCGGCCGCGCTCTCTGTAAGCTGCCTTCGCTTTCCCGGGGCTACGCAGCGAGGGGAGAGGCCTCGGCGCGCCGAGGGGCGGGGGTCGGAGGGCGGTGGGAAGAGTAGGGACGGGGTGGCCAGGTGGCGGTTGGGTCACCATTTTGCGTGGCTTGGGAAGAGGAGGAATTTCGGAAATGTCGCCTGGCTGTGGGGGCTGTGGTGAAGGCGGGTGGCCACTTCGGCGGGAGGTGGGGGGCGGGGGGCCGCCTGGCGCCTGGGGTGCTCGCGGAGGCAGTAGCCTCGCTGGTTGAGCCGCGTGAGCCGCCGCCTGAGGTCGGGAGGCCAGCGATGCTTTCTTCACCCGGCCCGCTTTTGGCTTTTCCTTCAGGAGACAACTCCCTTTGGCCTGATTTTTCAGTCGGGGGAAAGGCTGCTGGGGGCGTGCGGGGTGGGGGGGACCGAACTTTCGCGTCTCGGGGCTCCGACGGTTCTCGGGCTCTGCCCAACCCCCTTCCCCTGGCTGCCTAGGATTTCTGTGCTTAACACTGGTTCTTGCCTTGGAGCCTGCCCTCCTCTGTCATAAAAATCGTTCTCTGTTCCGTTATTGTCTAGAGGATAAAAGCCCTAAGGAGAGACTTGGGCTTAGATGCACGGTTTTCCCTTCGTGAGCTTTACCCGCTTTTCTTAGTGATGAGAAAAACATCTCCTTTGGAGGTTTTCCTTGGAAAACCTGCTCTAGATCGGGAGGGAGTTCCCTTCAACTTACCTCAAGTTTGAATGTTTGGAAACTCCCAAGGACTGCGTCAAGTGAATCAGTTTCTTCCAAATTCAAGGGATTCTCTTTGTTTGGAAAGATTTGCTTTTTTCTTTTGTTTTTAAATCTGTGAGTTTGCATTTCTTGTTTTGTTTTTGGATTTGAATTAGTAGTTTTAATGTCTATACCCAAAACCTAGAAATTGTTTTAAACTACAAAATTCTCCTAGGCATTTGTGAGATGTCTTGCTTTGGGAGCTGTGCAAATTCAGACCATTTTAAGTAAAACTGAATCTGTGAATCTTTAAAACCAATTTAAGCAAAACTGAATCTTTAAATTTCACTGAATCTGTGAAGGTACTAGTTTGCTTATAAAATTAAGTTAGACCTGCATACCTTTGCTTTAATATCAGTACAACTCAATGATAACATCTGTATGTTTTATTGATACCACTCCACCTCGAACTGTGAGGTGTTAATCTGTTCTTAAGGTGAAGAAATAACATCAAGTGGTTATATGGTTAGTAAATAGAGCCAGTTCTGGTTTTTCTTTTTCTCAGTTATTTTCTTACATTTAATTATGTGTGTGTGTGCTCTCCTATGCAGGCTTGTACCACAGTGTGGAGGTCAGAGGACAACTTGGAAGCAATCAGCTCTTTACTGCTACCATGTGGGTCCTGGGAATGCAACTCATATCTTAGCAGCAAACTCCCTTACCTGCTGAGCCATCTTGCTGGTCTTTTTTTCAAAAAATATTTTATGAGTGTCTTACCTTTTTGTATATTAGTGTGCCTGTGTCTGGAATGCCCATGGAGGTCAGAAGAGGGCATTGGATCCCCTAGAACTGGAGTTACAGATGGTTGTTAGCCACTGTGTGGGTGCTGGGAATCGAACCCGGGTCCTATGCAAGAGCAGTCTTAACCCATGAGCCATCTATCCAGCTCCCCTTTTTTTTCAGTTTTTAAAGAGATGGTCTCATGTTGCCCAGGCTAGCCTTGAATTTGGCTATGTATCTGATGCTCTCCGTGTACTCCCAACCTCTTGGCTTAGCCTCTTAAATGTTGGGATTTCAGGTGAGAGCTATCATCCCTGGCCCCTTAAAACCAGTTCTTGAACCAAGATCTTCTGATCCTCATTCAAGGTTCAGTTCACCAAATAATGAGTCATTCTTTTTGTGTGTGTGTGTGTATGACTGTATTGTCTGCATGTCTGTAAGTGCACCCATGTCATACAGTGCCCACGGAGGTCAGAAAAGGGCATCAGATCCTCTGGAGCTGGAGTTCCAGACAGTTGTCACCTGCCATGTGTGTGCTGGGAATCAAACCCAGGTCGTCTGCAAGAACAGTCAGTGCTCTTTACTGCTGAGCCATCTCTCCAGCCCCTGTATTTACTAATTATACATGTAGCTGAATTTTTTTTCTGTTTCTGCTTCATAGAGGGACTTTAAAATAACTGGTCTTTTGGGGCCAGCAAGATGGCTCAGCAGGTAATAAACATACCTGCCACTAAGCCTGAAAACCTGAGTTCACTCCCTAGGCCCCACCCACATGGTGGAAGGTGAGAACCAACTGCTACCTAGTTGTCTTCTGATCTCTACACTTGTTCTGTGGCCCATGGATACACAGTCGTACACTTAGAATTTTAAAAGGGGTGGACAGATGGCTTAGTAATTAAGAGCGCTGGCTGCTCTTGCAATGGACCCAGGTTCAGTTCCCAGCACCCCCATAGTGTGTCACAGTCATCTGTAACTCCAATTCCAGGGGGTCCAGTGTGCTCCTCTGATGTCCATGGGCATTGCATGGCATGGTTTACACCTACATACATGGCAAGCAAACACTCATACACATAAAATAAAAATTAAAAAAGAATTTACTTTTAGTCCAATACTTTTCAGTAATTATTTGGAAAGACTTGATAGAGTAACTCAAATAAAAGAGTACATCGGGGCTGGAGAGATTGCTCAGGGGTTCAGAGCACTGACTGCTCTTGCAGAGGACCTGTGTTTGATTCCTAGCACCCACATGGTGGCTAAAACCCGTCCTTAACTCCAGTTTCAGGGGAATCCGAAGCTCTCTTCTGACCTCCGCGGCATTGCACGGCACAGGTACACTCGCATACATGCAGGCAATACACTCATACACATAAAAATAACAAAATATATATTTTTTAAAAGTACATCTAGACTTTTTAAAGAATTATTTTTATTACTTTTATGTGTATGAGTGTTACACTTGCATGTGTGTAAGTGCACCGGTGTTGTGCAGTACCTGCAGAGGACAGAAGAGGGCATTGGATCCCCTAGAACTGGAGTTATGGACAGCTGTTAGCTGCCATGTGGGTGCTGGGATCCGAACCTGGATCTTTGATAAGAATACCCAAAACCACTGAGCCATCTCTCCAGCCCCTATATCTAGTCTTAAAATTCATTCTCAACAAAATGGTTTCATATAAAAGACTATTTCTACTATCTTTACATATATCTGGAAAGTTCGTCATCACTCTGTACCATCAGGGTCCAATGGACCATTTTAATTTTATTGTATTTTTTAAAGCTAGCTTATAGATAATTAGGAATAAAAGAGTTATAGAAAGATATTTAATAAGAAATTGCATGTGGTATATGTCTTTGTACTTAGAAAAATGAAAACCATCCTGGCATGGTAGTGGATACCTGTAATCACCTGCACTTTGGACGCAGAATCAGGAGGAGGGATGCAACTTTGAGGACAGTCTGGTGTACATTATGACTTCCAGGCCAACCAGGGCTATCTACCAAGACCTTGTCTAGAAAGAGGTGGTGGCAGGGAAAGATGGGAAGAGGAATAATGAAGAAGGAATGAAACAAGTACATTTTAAAGCTGGGCATGGTGGCACATGCCTTATCCTAGCACTTGGGAGGCGGAGGCAGGTAAATCTCTGTGAGTTCAAGGCTAACCTGGTCTACTGCATAGCAAGTTCAGGCTAGCTGGGACTACAGGGAGACTGTCTCAAAAAGTAAAAGAAAAATAAATAAAAAGTGCATTTTACTTTTGCTTACATTTATTTGTGCTTATGAAAATGTGTGTTTGGGCACATGTGTTGATGCCACAGCATTCCTGTGAGGGAGTCAGGACAATTTGAGTAATTGATTCTCCCCTTTCATGTGTGTTCCAGGAATTGAACTCAGGTTGTGAGGCCTTCCTCAACCTCCCAAGTTCTGAATTACAGGTAAATGCCACCACGCCTAGCTATATCTAGTTTTTTTTTTTTATGAGATATTTTTATGTAGAAAATTCAGAATATAAATTGCACTAAAATACTTTTGAATGAAGCAATGCAGGTTTTTTAAAATAATCTTTATTGTAACAGCTGTTTTAAAAAGCCCCAATAGTGCTGGGGATGTTGCTTAGTGGAAGAGTACTAGCTTAGCACATGTAAAGCCCTAAATTTGTTCTCAGACACCACAAACATAAAAGCTGAAATAAACAGATTAGGGCGTAAACTTCTGAAGGAAAAGACTGATTTGTTCTTCATTTTTTTCCCTAGAGCTATATTATTGCTTTGAATATAGTGGGTAATGTATATTTGGTAGTGAATCTATGAAAAACTTTATCCAGGTAATTTTCTCTTACTTTCCAGTTAAAATTGACAAAAAAAAGTAACAGCACAAAAGGACTCGAGATGGCTCAGCAATTAAGAGCACTGGCTGATCTTATAATTTCTTAAAGTAGTAAATGCTTAAAACAGCCATCATTTTATTTACTAAATTTATATTCATTCAGGAATGAACCAGTCATGGAAAGTGAATTCTAGCTATATAGCACACATACTAAACTGAAAAGGTAAACTTTTCAAACAGGAAACAGATAAGATGGTGTGTACATTTAATTTGGCATTCCATTCTAGTAGTCTTTGCCCTTTGTTATTTGTGTGGTGTGTGTGGTGGGTGTATAGGACTGTGTGAGTGCACCATGCCCCTTTGCATGCATGTAGGCGTAAATAGATGTCTTACTATGTTGCTCTCCACTGAACCAGAAGCTCACTATGTAGGCTAGGTTGGCTGGCCAGTGAGCTCTCAGAATTTTCCTGTCTTCAACCCTGTCCTAGTTTGTTTCTTCATTGCTGTGACAAAATACTCTGACCAATACCAACTTGGGGAGGAAAGGGTTTATTCAGCTTACATCTCCCAGGTCACAGTTCATCAGGGAGCCCAAGGTAGGAACTCAAGACAGGAACCTGGAAGCAGGAGCTGGAGCACAGGCCATGGAGGAACGCTGCTTACTGGCTTGCTCCCTTGGCCCCTGCTCAGCCTGCTTTCTTATACAACACAGGCCCACCTGCCCAGGGGTGGCACCACCCACAGTGGGCTGGGCCCTCCTACATCACTCATCAAGAACATGTCCTCAGACATGGCCACAGACCAGTCCAATAGAGGCAATTCCCCAATTGAGGCTCCCTCAACCCAGGTGGGTGAAGTTGACACTAAAGCTATCCAGCACAAACCCCCTATGGTGGGTTATAGGTATAGTGAACCATGCCTAGCTTTTTACATGAGTACTAGGGCTTGAGGCTTAGGTCTTCATGTTTGTGTAGCAAGAACTGTTAGCCACAGAGCCGTCTCCTCAGCTCCTAGTATTACATACGTTTATTTAAATTTTTTTAGTGTGTGTTCTGTATATATGTGTGCAGGTACATAAATGTGTATGCAGGTGTAGACCAGAGGTCAATTTTAGGTGCCACCCCTAGGAATGCCATCCATCTCCTTTGAGACTGGGTTTCTTCACTACCCTGGAGCTCACCAAGTAGGGAAGACTGGCCAGTGTGCTCCAAGAGTCCTGTTATCTCTGTCTCCCCAGCTCTGGGATTACAAGTGCATGCCTCTACACTTGGCCTTTTTATACAGGTTCTAAGTATCAGACCCAGGTCCTCATGTTTGCAGGGCAAGAACTTTATTTACTGAGCTGTCACTCCTGCCCTGCTATCTTTATTTTGTGTGTGTGTGTGCATGCACATGCCACAGCAGGCAAAGATCAGAGGACAGCTTGCAGGATTTGATTGTTTCCTTCTACCACTGTGGGTCCCCAAGATCAAACTGAGGTTGTCAGACTTGGCAGCAAGCACCTTGACCTGCTAAGCCATCTATCTCAGTAGCTCCTCATGAGTTTATTTGATAGGATACAAAATTATGTCCTAAGTTGTTACCTTGTTGGGATTCTTATGATGTTTGTTCAGCATTGAAATTAAACCCAAAGATTTCTGAATGAAGTTTCATGTTTTAGTATTTAATATTATTTGGAGCTCATAAAATTGATTGATGTCATGTGTTTATTCTTAGTTGATTCAACTTGATGGATAAAGACAGTAATCGTCAACAAAGTAAGTACTGCTGCTGCAATTGATACTGGCATATATGACCTTTTATTACATTCAGTTATTTGTGTGTGTGTGTGTGTGTGTGTGTGTGTGTGTGTTTATATGTGTATGCATGCACTCATACATGTGACACAGCACACCTGTGGAGATAAGGATAACTTGTGGGAGATTTGCTACTTCTAACACATGGGTCCTAGGGACCAAACTCAGGACATCAGGCTTGGTGGCAAGTGCCTTTTACTGGCTGAGCTATCTCACCAACCCATGCATGGCTTTTTAAAAGAAACTGATAACCTTTTTACAAGAGGATCAGTGAGACAAGTGAGCACACATTCTTAAAATAAAGATGCTTAGATTTATTAAAGTAATACATAAAATAAGTGAGAGAGATGGCTCAGCAATTAAGAGTACTGGCTGCTCTTGTAGAGGACCCGAGTTTGGTTCCCAGCACCTGTATCAGGTGGCACACAGCTACCTGTAACTCCAGCTCCAGGGACTCCTACTGTTCTGCCTTCTGTAGGTACTTACATGCCTCCACACAGATATACAAACATAAGTAAAAATAAAAATAAAGCTGGTCGTGGTGATTTATGCTTTTAATTCCAGCACTCAAGAAGCAGAGGCAGGCAGATCTCTGTTAGTTTGAGGCTAGCCTGGTCCACATAGTGATTCCAGACCAGCCAGGAATACATAGTGTGACCCTGTTTCATAAAAACAAAAAATAAATCTTTGAAAAAAAGAGAGAAGGTGCTAGGAAGATGGCTCAGTCAGAAGTGTTTTCCAGGCAAGCAAGAGGACCTGAGTTTGGATCTTCAGCACCACTTAAAGTCCCGATGTGGTGGTATGTGTGTGTAATCCCAGTACTGAAGAAGTAGAGACAGGTATATCCCTGCAGTTCATCGGTCAGACAGCTCAGCTCCAGGTTCAGTGAGAGACCCTTTCTCATACAATGTTGTGCTGGATAGCTTTAGTGTCAAATTGACACACCTGGGTTGATGGACCCTCAGTTGGGGAATTGCCTCCATTGAACTGGCCTGTGGCCATGTCTGTGGGGCATCTTCTTGATTGTTGTATGATGTGGGAAGGCCAAGCCACTGTAGGTGATGCCACCCCTGGGCACTTGGGCCTGTGTTGCATAAGAAAGCAGGCTGAGCAGGGGCCTGAGGAGCAAGCCAGTAAACAATGTTCCTCCATGGCCTGTGCTCCAGCTCCTGCCTCCAGGTTCCTGTCTTGAGTTCCTACCTTGGGCTGCCTGATGAACTGTGACCCGGGAGATGTAAGATAAATAAACCCTTTCCTCCCCAAGTTGGTAGTGGTCAGAGTGTTTTGTCACAGCAATGAAGAAACAAAGTAGAACAAATGTGGTAGAAAACAATTGAGGAAGACACCTGACATGGACCTCTGGGCTCTAAACTCATATATGCACACACCCATAAACACATATATAAAACACAAACACAGCTGGGTGTGCTGGCACACGCCTGTAGTCCCAGCATTTGGGAGGCAGAGGCAGGTGGATCTCTGAGTTCAAGGCCAGCCTGGTCTACATAGTAAGCTCCAGGCCAGCCGGGGCTATAGGGAAACCCTGTTTCAAAAAGACCCTCCTCCCCAAACAAACACATACAGAAAAGATAAGTGAGGAAAGCTTGTCCACAGGTACGTACAACCATGGTATCAAAGGATATATGTGATTATAATGTGTTCCTTTCTCTGGAAGAGCTTACTTTGATGTTGAGCATGTATAATTAAGATACATTAAAAATAGTGGTGGGGCTGGAGAGGTGGCTCACTTGTTAAGAACACTGGCTGTTCTTGCAGAAGACCCAGGTTCAAATCCCAGGACCCATATGGCAGCTAACAACTATCTGCAACTCCATTTCCAGGGGATCCAACAGCTTCTTCTGTCCTCTGCGGGCATTGCACAGCATGGGTGCACTTACCTACATGCAGACAATACACACATAAACATAAGATTAAAATATTTAAAAATAGTGATGTTTAATGTATATTATATTAAACCTTGAATTTCCTGGTAATAGACTGAATGTGATAAGACGTAGAAGAAAAACAGGTTAAACATAAAAATGTTAAACTATGATGTATGCTTTTAATTATTTAACTTAGAAGATTCTACATAATGTTTTATTGCTGTTGTTTTGAAACAGGGCCTCACTTTCTAGCCCTGATTGCCCTAGAGCTTGCTATGTAGACCAGGCTGGGCTCAAATTCACAACAATCACCTGCCTCTGCCTCCCAAGTACTGGGATTAAAGGTATGTGTCATCACGCCTGGCTGATTTCTGCATAAATGTTTTGGGGCATCAATTAAAAATGAAGGGAGTCAGTTCATATTATTAGTTAAATTTGGGAGGATGGGAAGTTTTTATGTTTTGGGGGCATAAGAGAACCTATCAAACATTTAAAAACCATTATATTAAGAAATGAATTGTGTATTCAGAGAGTGGCTTAGTAGCAGAGCACTATCTTAGTGTGAATGAGGTTCGACGCTCAATCCCTAACACTGAAAAAAAAAATTGTGCCATAGGAGGAGAAATTTTAAAATTTTGAAAAATGACATCAGTTTGTTAGGGTATTTCTATTGCATGCTGCCTCCAAGTTTCTCTTTTTATGTACTGCCATTTAAGAATTCTAAAGTATGGTGTTATTTTGGGGTTGAAGGAAGAAATGGTGATATTTAATATAATTACCTTTAGAAATAACATTTTATTTGTGTGCATGTGCATGTGTGTATGTATGGGTATGATGGCAAGAGAGTATGTGTGCCATGGTGCACATGTGGAGATCAGAAGAGTTGGTTTTCTTCTACCTTTATGTGGGTTCTGGGGACTGAACCCAGGTCATCAGGCTTGCACAAATGCGTTACTTGCTAAACCATGAGCCATCTTGATGGTTCACAACTTCATTTTTGTTTTGTTTTGTTTGATTTGAGGCTGTGTAGCTCTGGCTGACCTGGAAATCACTGTGTATAACAGGCTGGCCTTGGAACACACAGAGATCCACCTGCCTCTGCCTCCCAAGTGCTGGGATTAAAGGTGTACACCATCTCACCTTGCACAACTGCCTTTTAAAATTAAAGATACCATTGTCTAAGTGAAAAATCTGAAGTAATTTTATTTTAATAGTTATCCATCATTCACATCTTACTACATGACATACATATCCTCGTTTTTTTTTTTTTTTCCAATTTGGGTCTCCAATACTCCTTCTTAACCCAAATAATACAGATAGTTAAAGTCAAACAATCCAAAAAGGCTTTTATAGCCATGATTTCTTGGAGAGGAGGGACACTAACAGATGTGTGCATGGACATGTGAACTTCTGTATTCTCTTTCACTGAAGGCATCCACTTCAAACTGTTTGGCTGGTTTTCTAATAATTATTTCCATATTTCTGTTTTTTTATTATTTTATGTGTATAAGTGTATTGCCTGCATGTATGTAAGTGCACCTGTATTGTGCAATGCCCACAGAGGTCAGAAGAGGCTGTTGCCACCATGTGGGTGCTGGGAACAAAACCCAAGTCATCTGCAAGAGCAGCCAGCCAGTGCTCTTAACTGCTGAGCCATCTCTCCAGCCCTCCATATTTCTGCTTTTAAACATGCATATAATTATAACTTTCTCTTGAATCTTCAATTTTTGCCATTATCTAATGATTTCTTCTCACAGAAGGTGAGAATTTCAAATTTCTAACACTTTACACTCTCTGCAAGCATCTCCCAATATAGTTATACCTTTGATTTTTGGTTTAGCCATACTTGGTGTTGTTATGATGACCATAATTAATATTGTTCACTAATGATCCTAGTAGTATATTATTAATCTATTAGGAACACATTTCCCTTTTTATCATTTTTTTATATATCCTGTAAGTAAATTTTTTGTTTGTTTAAATTTGCTCTTCCTTTTTTTTTTCTTTTTGAGCCTGTGGGGGACATGCTCATTCAAACTACCACATTCCACTCCCTGGTCCCATAAGCTCATAACCATATAAAATTCAAAATGTATTTAGTTCAACCTTAAAAGTCCCCATAGTCTTTGCCAGTCTCAGTACTATTCCATAGTCCACAGTCCAAAGCCTCTTATCAGGGCGGTCTCTTAATTGTAAGCCCCTGTAAAATCAAAAGACAAATTACATACTCCCAACATACAGTGGAACTGAATACATTCCCCTTCCAAAAGGGAAGAATAGAGGCATAGTGAGGAAATACTGGACCGAAACAAGACCTAAAACCATCAGGGCAAACACCAAATCCAGTAACACCATGTACAACTTCTGGGACTTCCAAAGGACTTAGATGGCTCAGCCTCTTCAACTTTGCTGTGTGAAACATACATTTCTCTCTTAGGCTGATACCACTCCCTTTATGCAGCTCTCCTTGACATATGTCTCACAGCTCTGGCATCATGAATGTCTTCTTGGAGTCTCCACTGTCAAGCAGGCATCATTGTCACAGCTTCACGCAGTGGCCTTTCAGGGCCATCTTTATGCAGGAGAACCCCTGCTGCATGCTGCCTGGCCTTAGCAGCTCTCTGAAACCACCAAGGAAGAACCAAAGACCTCTTCACTCTTGCATCTTTATGCCTCTAAATTAGCCAACACAGGTGAAAGATACTGCCAAGTTTCGCTGCAAGTTTGGGATGGACCCCAACCTGCTTTATCCACTTTTGAAGCTTTTCTCTTCAGTAGAAAACCTCTGCAGTATTTTCCTGTCTCAAGTTGGAGGCTTAGCTGGGTGTGGTCTTGCCCTGGAGGCACTCTTTCCATTGTTTAAGTGGAAATCTCTAGGCCTCTCCTTAATCACTTTAATCTCCTTATCAAAGGGATCCTCTCCTTTACCACATGCCTTGGCTCCAACATTGATCTTCCTAGTGTTCTTTTTCAATTCCAACTGTACATTCTGTATTTCTTGCTGCCCATTTGCTCTTTTTCACTGTAGATCTGCATAATATTCACCATTAATAGCCATGCCATCATTTCTAAGTT